CAGACAGTGTGGCCTGAGCCCGAGCAGCCAGCAGAGGGTGACGGGGCTCTGAGGAGGCCACCTCTTGGTGACTGAAGATCCTGCTGCTGCCAAGGCTGAGAGGCAGATGCTGAATCCACGCACTGCAGAGGGCGCAGCTGTTGCCACCAGGTCTTGGGGAGCATTTTTCAGGATGATTTCAGCCCTTGGGCTCAGGGAGAAGTTGCCTTGAAGAAAGAGACGGAAGCGTTTGGAGGCTGCGACGCCAGAGGGACTTAGCCTCACTTGATCCCCCCGTGCAGACCTGATCCGTTCCTGGGGAAGGGGGGGTTCTGTGGTGACCTGGGGGAGGTTGCTCAGCAGGGGGGTGACACTGTGTGACCCTGGTGTCCTTTCCCCACAGCCTACCTGTCCCAGCGTGACATGGCGCGGCGCCCGCGCAGCAGCCGGGCCTGGCACTTGGTGCTGAGCGGGGGGCGGCGCGAGGGAGACCCCCGGGCACTCCCCCTGCCACCACCCCCCCTCTCACCCCTCCAGGCCCCAGGTGCCCGAGGCTGGGGGTACGACTCCGACGGGCAGGTAAGGAGGGTGCTGGGTGGCTTTGGGGACACGGGGGACAGGTCTCCTCTCCCCCACTGCAGGCACGGCCTGAAGGCGCTTGGGTCTGTGGTTCAGGGCACAGAGCTGGGTGTGATTAGAGAGAGGTTAATTAAATCAACCTGCTGCCTCCCTGCCCTGATGTGTGGGGCTCCCAGCCCCTTCCCAGGCTCAGCTGCCCCACATCTGCTCCTCAGTTGTGGAGTCATTAAGGTTGGAAAAGACTTCTAAGATCATCAAGTCCAACTGCCAACCTGACACCACCATGTCCACAAAACAGTAGAATAACTTAAGTTCTAAAAGACCTTTAAGATCATCAAGTCCAACTGTTCCCCCTGCCCTGCCAAGGCCACCAGTGCCCCATGCCCCTCAGCACCACATCTACAGGGCTTTCAAACCCTTCCAGGGATGGGGACTCCCCTCCTGCCCTGAGCAGCCTGTTCCAATGCTTGACCAGTCCTTCATGGAAGAAGTTTCTCCCAAGATCCCACCTAAACCTCCCCTGATGCAACTTGAGGCCATTTCCTCTTGTCCCATCCCTTGTTCCTGGGGAGCAGAGACCAACCCCCCTGGCTCCAACCTCCTCTCAGGCAGCTACAGAGCCAGCAGGTCTCCCCTCACCTCCTTGTCTCCAGGCTGGACACCCTCAGCTGCTCCTCATAATATTCAGTTGTGCTCCACACCTTGTTGGCTGCATCAGGGAGCTGATCAATACGAAGCTAAATGCTTCTTTTATAAACATGAAAAAGGTGTGTGTGGTACATGAAGTACAGACACTATTTTTCAAATAGTTCTTTTGGAAGTAGTGATCTAAATACCTGTTTAAACTGGCTGGGTTCTCCAGTCTGGCTTGCTGCAGGGCTCACTTCTGCTCTGGTGGGGGTAGTGGGGCTGCCAAGTTACAGCCTCCCATCTCTCCAGGCTGAAATTCCATCACATTTTGGAACGTGTGTTCCAAACACACGTGTGGAACATCAGTTCTGTACTGGCAGATGGGAAGAGCAGTCAGTCAGTGTGAGGAGGGACTTGGCTTCATCCCTCCCCGTTTCCCTGGTTCTTCCACTGAGTTCAGTTCCCTGTGTGGTGCTGGGGACACAGGAGGTGCTGCTGGGGCTGCAGAGCTGACCTAGAGCCCCATGTCCAAACCCAGGCCCTGGGCTCCCAGCAAATGAGCCTTTTCTCTGCACCCAAAGCAACTTTGTGTTTCTGCAGTACTGGGAAGAGCTGGATTTCTAGACAGCAGCAGGCAGGAAGGGCCAGTGGAAGACAGAAATCCAGGTTTCAGTGTGCAGGCTGGGATTTTTGTCTTTAAATCCTTCTTATAAATCTGCCTTGGGGATGAATAACAAGCAGGTTCTCCTGACCAGCACATAAACCCTGAGTAACTCACTGCCACTTGTGAGAGACTCCATCAGGTGGCACTGACTCCATCATGTGGCACTGAGCCTCACGTGCCATCAGTGTTAGGTGAGGCTTTGACTCCTACAGCACCTGGACCCTTTGGTCTCCTGGCCCTGGGGGACAGTAAATTGAGTTTTGGTGTTGGTGCATGGAAGCAAACAGATGCTTTTTAATCCTTCCTCAGGTTCCCATGGGCCTGGTTGCAGCTGAGTCCCCTTTGCTCTGTCCTCTCTCCTGCCTGCCCTCCTGTCCCTTTTCCTCCTCTTTACCCCTCTCTCTCCTCCATCACCCCCAGGCTCTCCAGGGCAGTGTGCTCTGCTGTGGTTGTGCCTTGCCTGGGTGGCTGGGACCTGCCCATTGACATTTTCCACATTTTGTTTAAAAATGTGGCTGTGAAAGGCTTGGAGGGTCATGCTGCTTGCCTTCTGTGACAGCTCCTGGCCCCTGGAAGGCTCAGATCCACAGGATCACAGAAACTTGGGGGCTGGGAGGCACCTCTGGAGATCATCCAGCCCAGTCTCCCTCCCAGAGCAGAGCAGGGTCACCCAGAGCAAGTTGCACAGGATGGTGCCCAGCTGGGTTTGGAATGTCTCCAGAGATGGAGCCTCCACAGCCTG